TGAGTATATTGCTAAAAACATTCAACTGTATAAGATGAGAAATGGTAAGTAATTCTTCTTAATATAACACAGTCTTGTTAACACAATGTGATTTATTGAATGACAATCTATATGTTGTTGTCGCTTGATATTTTTTCTGTTCTCAAAATATGATGTCATGATCTCATCATAAAAAAAAGGCTATTAAGAAAACAAAATAAGTTGTAACTCATAGTGTCACTCTCACCTGATTGAATTTAAAAATACAGTGATTTCATGTATTTTAACAGGTTATGAACTGTCTCCACATGCAGCTGCCAACTTCACTAGAAAACAACTAGCAGATGCCTTAAGAAGTCAGGTAAGATGTGTAATCAGCGGATAATCTCTGTGGTATGGCAGTTAACATACTCCTGTTTGAAATAGAAATCTCTCAAGACTTCATAGAAGTTATAATCATTTCCCCATGTAAATGTATTGCTGATATTATGGTATCATTTGAATTCCAATCTAAAGATTAAAACTGATAGTTTTTATGAGGTTTATCAGATAGTAAACAATATTTAATAAATATTAAGATTTCATGGTTTTCTACGGAGCCCCTTAAGCGCAATTTTCAACACTTTTTATTATTATTTCGTTTAAACGAAATAATTAACGAAATAATAAATAAATATGTTTTCAAATATTTTGGAATTTTTATTCTTTTAAATTGTTCAATATTTTGTATGAATTAGCTATTATTATTATTATTACTATTAATGATATGTGTAGGGAAATTTATGCAGTTGATTTATGTGTCGAATTTTTAATGCATATATTTTTTCTCAGATTGAAATGAAATTTGGTGTGATTATCTATTATAATAAGTCCTTCGTCAAGTTTAAATTTGTCGATTTTTGCGATGAACGGAATGAGAGTTATTGCCCTTTACTTAGTAAAAATGCATCAAAATTTGTTGGCTTGAGAACACGATTGAGGTGACAATTTATGTAAGAATTTTATGAAATTTTGTACAGATCAGATTTTTGATACTATTTGACATAAATTGGCGACCACTTGATATATGTGATATATTTTAGACACCCTACAATGTAAACATGTTACTAGCAGGCCATGATAAAGAAGATGGTCCAAGTTTATATTATATGGATTATTTAGCATCATTAAATAAAGTGCCATTTGGTGTCCATGGTTATGGTGGTTTTTTCTCCTTATCAGTTATGGATAGATACTATCAAAAAGGTATATTGCATTGAGTTAATATCCATAAGCATCATGTAAATACAGTACTTATTTATATTAGTTTGTACAGGTTTCAAATGAGATGAAAAGAGATTATGAAGTTTGTAATATAAACACAATTGTATGAAGGAGTTAGTCTGAAAATTGTCAAATCAAGTCTCTGTTAGCTAAACTTATTCACAACATTTTAAATGAGTCTGGGGAATTTTAATATTTCTGACAAATTGAGAAAAAAAAAATCTATTAAATTTTGTTATATATATATCCCTATTTTTTTTTATTAGATATGAATCAAGATGAAGCTATGAAGTTATTACAACAATGTATAGATGAGGTAGAATGCTTTGTTTCTAT